TCACTGTCCGTGAGTTTGAACCCCACGTCGGGCTCTGTGCTGACAGCTCAGAGCCTGGAGCCTGTTTCAGATTCTGTGTCTCCCTCTGTCTCTGCCCCTCCCCCACTCATGCGTGCGCTCTCTCTCTTTCTCTGTCAAAAATAAACGTTTAAAAAAAATGGGGGCGCCTGGGTGGCGCAGTCGGTTAAGCGTCCGACTTCAGCCAGGTCACGATCTCGCGGTCCGTGAGTTTGAGCCCCGCGTCAGGCTCTGGGCTGATGGCTCAGAGCCTGGAGCCTGTTTCCGATTCTGTGTCTCCCTCTCTCTCTGCCCCTCCCCCGTTCATGCTCTGTCTCTCTCTGTCCCAAAAATAAATAAACGTTGAAAAAAAAATTTTTAATAAAAAAAAAATGTAGATTTATGCTGTATACATTTCTCAATTGATAATAATCATAGTGGTAACAGAAGTAATGACTGGGCTAACATTTCAGATGTTTGCCATGTGTCATGTATTAATCTGAGTCTTTACTTTTTCTCATTATCTCTTTTAACCTTCAGTGTCCTTCCTATCTTATTTTCATAAAATATTTTTATATTTGGAAAACTAAAGTTTAAAGTAGCAGTATTAGCAATTTCCTTTAGTAAACTTAACCCTTGTGTTAAATTTACAGAAATAGATGAACCATAGTTAATATTATAGGTTTGTATTTGAAGTGAAACAAGATGTAAATCACTGTAATGATTTTAAACTTTCTTTTTATTTTTAATTTTTTTTAATGTTTTTTTCTGAAAGAGAGAGAGAGAGACAGAGCACGAGTGGGGGAGGGGCAGAGAGAGGGAGACACAGAATCTGAAGCAGGCTCCAGGTTCTGAGCTGTCAGCACAGAGCCCTACACGGGGCTCAAACCCACAAACCGCGAGGTAATGACCTGAGCTAAAGTTGGATGCTTAACTGACTGAGCCACCCAGGTGCCCTTGTGATGATTTTAAACTTTCAAAAAAAAATTTTTTTAATAGTTAACTTCGTTCCTTAATTTTTATTTTTTTTTTCAACGTTTATTTATTTTTGAGACAGAGAGAGACAGAGCATGAACAGGGGAGGGGCAGAGAGAGAGGGAGACACAGAATCGGAAACAGGCTCCAGGCTCTGAGCCATCAGCCCAGAGCCTGACATGGGGCTCGAACTCACAGACCGTGAGATCGTGACCTGGCTGAAGTCAGACGCTTAACCGACTGCGCCACCCAGGCGCCCCCGTTCCTTAATTTTTAAAGCAGCTTTATTGAGGTATACATGACATACATTAAAATGCACATACCTTGGTTGGCTCAGTCAGTTAAGCGTCTGGTTAAGCATCCAACTCTTGGTTTCGCTCAGGTCGCGATTTCACGTAGGTAAGAATGAGCCCATGTTAGGCTCTGCACTGACAGCATGGAGCCTGCTTGGGATTCTCTCTCTCTCTCTCTCTCTCTCTCTCTCTCTCTCTCTCTCTCTGTCTTTGTCTCTCTGTCTCTCTTGCTCTCTGCCCCTCTTCCCACTCTCTCTCTCTCAAATAAATAAACGTTAAAAATGCACATATCTTAAATGTACAGTTTGATAAGTTAGACATATGTGTACACCTTTGAAACAATCCCCCATAATCAAGATAATGACCATATATGTCACTACCCAGAGCATCCTCATGCCCATTTGTAATCTCTGGCCCCTCTTGTCCTGCTCTTTACAAAGCAAACATTCATCTGCTTTCTGTTGCTGTAGGTTAGTTTGCAGATATTTTAAATACTTAAGTATCATATTGGATCTGTTCTATAGTTTCTTTATTTTTTTTGCATATATCCTTTTATTTTTTTAATTAAAAAAATTTTTTTTAATTTACATCCAAATTAGTTAGCATAGAGTGCAACAATGATTTCAGGAGTAGATTCCTTAGTGCCCCTCACCCATTTAGCCCATCCCCTCCTCATACACCCCCTCTAGTAACCCTCTGTTTGTTCTCCATATTTATGAGTCTCTTCTGTTTTGCCCCCTCCCTGTTTTTATATTATTTTTGTTTCCCTTCCCTTATGTTCATCTGTTTTGTCTCTTAAAGTCCTCATATGTGTGAAGTCATATGATTTTTGTCTTTCTCTGACTAATTTCACTTAGCATAATACCCTCCATTTCCATCCACGTAGTTGCAAATGGTAAGATTTCATTCTTTTTGATTGCTGTGTAATACTCCATTGTATATATATACCACATCTTCTTTATCCATTCATCCATCGATGGACATTTGGGCTCTTTGCATACTATGGCTTGCACACACAATGTCGTGTGGCTTACACACACACATTTCCATACACAATGTTGATAGTGCTGCTATAAACATTGGGGTGCATGTGTCTCTTCAAAACAGCACACCTGTATCCCTTGGATAAATGCCTAGTAGTGCAATTGCTGGGTCGTAGGGTAGTTCTATTTTTAGTTTTTTGAGGAACCTCCATACTGTTTTCCAGAGTGGCTGCACCAGCTTGCATTGCCATGTTCTATAGTTTCTTTAAATGTGTTACTTTAGAAGTAGGTGACACTCACCAAAGTTTCAAACACACATATCATTCCCTTATCTAATACTTTATCTGAACAGGAACCTCTCATGTTCATTCTTCTGAAGAACCCTTAAGTAGGGATTCAGCAGCAGAATATCAAGATTTTCATGAACTCATTATCGTTCTCTTTTGAGTGTTGTCCCATCACTTTGCCAATAAATATATTTTACATCATTGTTTTAAACAGCTGAATAATACTCTCTCCTATTACTAGGTGTACCTTGATTATCTGAGGCAGTTCCTCCCTGTTAAACATTTAGATTGTTTCTAGTTTTTTGATAGTCATAAAAGAAATATTTATCAGACTTTTACTGTCTGTCAGGTACTGTTCAAGGAATCGATAAGGACTCTGCCTTTAGGAATTTACATGGCAGTGGAAGAAAGAGAATGAATGAAAACCAACAAATGAGGCCGTTACAGATTTTTAATTGGCACCAAGAAGGCAATAAATAAGGGAGATGTGGCAGGAAGCAGCATGCAGCTTTAGACAGGCAGGTTAGGAAGACTGCTTTGAAGAAGTCGCCTGAGAAATGACAAGAGCTACAGAATATTGTTGGAAGAAGTCATGACAAGAGTAAAGGATCTGACATGGTTATGTTTTCTTCATAGAGTAGCAATTAATTAAAGAGAAACTTTTCTCGGACCGTTCTTGACATTAATCTTTTCTCGGACCGTTCTTGACATTAATCTTTTTATAAGAAAATTAAAAGAAAGGAACCTCTATGGTACTTCCAAATTTACACTAAAATGCTACATGAAGAGGGACGCATTTCAGAAATATAATGAATAAGTGAATGGATAAAATATACCAAGTCAGTGGATCAAGTTCCCTGGGCAACTATAATAAAACATAACTAATGAATAAAATAATTTAAGGAGTTGTTATATAAGATAATGGCTAAAAAGTTAGAGGTCTTTAGGAAACAGAAAAGCTGAGACCATTTATCCATTCATGTAACAAATATTGAACATCCTCCCTGTGATATGATGTAATGCTGTAGGTACTAAGGACACAAGAGTAAATAAAACAGATAAAAGACCGTCCTTTGATGGGACTTCCATGAGACAAAGACGGAACATAACAACTGTTTTGAAGAAAACTAAAAGCATAATTTTATATAATCTATATATTTTCATAGTTTTAAAATTATTTCCAACATGTGTTATCTTAGTACTTAAACACTATTCTGCTGTATGTGCAATTGTCTAATACTAAAAAGGGAGAAATAATCATGTAATGTACCTACATATTTCAGTCTTATTTGTGTATTTCCAAATTGTGTGCAGGAGGTGATCTCATCCACTCTTGTGATTTTAGCTGGCATCTATTTGTAGTTGATACTTAGAACTACCCTTTCACGAAAAGTCTTGTTTCCTACCATTTTTATATCGCAAATGCAATGTCTGGAAAGCAATTTAAGTTTAAATATAGAAGAGAGATTACTCATCCCACCCCCACCCCCAATCTGCCTCCTCTATTTCATCATCATGTTTTGTGTAATATCGTTGTATATGTCCTAGATTCTATGCTCTGTTATTATCTGTTTTAGTACCTTAGTTCTAAGGTTGGGACTGAAGGCAGAAGTGTATATAGTACACAGAATTATTGATTTTGAGTATAGAATTAATAATCATGAGATGCTTAGAAAAAAAGTATAGGATAATTATAAGATAATTAAGTATAGGATAAAGATAATTGCGTTGCTAATAAAATTTTGTAATTTAACTATAAGATTAATGTTTTTTCCTGGTTATTTTTTCTGTGCCTTGATAATCTTTATTTATTTGAACTTTCTATTGTAAATGTGTATTAAAACTTGGATCACATATGTATTAAGTCTAAATAAATAAATAAGGGTTTTAGGACTAAAAGATGTTCTATAATTCTGGTGTACTGAGATTTAAAGATTTATTTCTTTAGACCTTTTCTCTTAAGAAATTTTGTGAGATTACACTGAGGTGTTTTTTTTTTTGTTTTGTTTTGTTTTTTGTTTTTTTTTTTTAGCTTATTTATTCATTTTGAGAGGAAGGAAGAGAGAAAAAGTGCGAGTGAGGTAGGGGCAGAGAGAGAGGGAGAGAGAGAGAATCCCAAGTAGGCCCTGCACTGAGGGCTCGAACTCACAGACCATGAGACCATGACCTGAGCCAAAGTCGCTTAACCAACTGAGCCACCCAGGCAAGGCATCCATACACTGAGTTCTTATTTCACTTTATAATATTTATTTAGGTGAACTAATCATTTTTTGTGTCTTTTTTATATAGAGAGTCCTTTAAACCTTTCTCATATTTTCAGGTGAAGATTTGATTTTTTAAAGTGTTAATTTTATATTCTTGATATAAAGAGTTTGTGGTACAGTATACCTAATGGTTTGTTGGAAAACAAAAATTAATAGTTATAAGACTTTCCGAGTTTTAAATGAATTTATCTTCTTTTCTAGGTTTGTTAAAGTTTTGCACTGTCGGATTTTGTGGAATTGGGAGCCTAATTGATTTCATTCTTATTTCAATGCAGGTAAGTTAGTTTCAATCTAGAAGGTGAACTACTTTTACATTCAAACTGTGATCTGTGATCTTTTCCTGGTATATTTTAGATATATTAGAAAGCACACTTTATCTCTTAACTCAGGCAAAAACACCCTGTGGGGCAAAGTATCCCCTGATGAGAACTGAAACCTCCCCCTCAAGCAATAAGAATTGCCCTGAACCAGCAAGACCCCACAGGATTGATCCCCAGACAGTGATCAACCTGACCTTTGCTGCCCCACCTTCATGTAACCACCCACCTTTGACCCACATTTTTGTGATAGAAATCTACAAATATTTCCAGCATTTTGAGAACCTAGTCCATCGTCTTACCAATGTTAGCCTCACTGAAATAAATTCCTTTCTTGTTTCAAAAAAAACAAAAAACAAAAACTAAGAATAAATATATTAGAAAGCAGTTAGGAATACTTTTTCAGTTTTTCTTTAGATACTAGATCTCAGGGATCATAGCTATGTTTCCAAGTAGCATTTCCCAACCTGTGTTCTACCAGTTCGTAGTTCTAAAAGACGTAAGAACTTCATAAAGAAAGGATTCAGTGCTCAAATATGATTTGTAAATGTGAATTCAACTGAGCTTTCTTTACCGGATAACTTCTAAGAGTCTTTATAATTTGTATTATGAATCTCTAATAGGGATTAAGATTATTTCTTGAATTTATTATTTATTTTCCTGGATGGTCACAGCCACATTGTCAACTGTTATAATAGAATATTGATGGGGATCTGATATTTGCATATGAACATATATAGGCAGAAACAATGTTTGTGGTTTTTTTTTTTTTTTTTTTAATGGACAGGCACTGTATATTAGTATTCTCTTGGTTGTAAATTACAGAAATTGAAATCCAGCTAGCTTAAGCCAGAAGGAAAAAAGCAATGTCCAGGAGGTCTGTAGAAAATCTAGGAATGAAAAAAAGAAAGAAAGAAAGAAAGAAAGAAAGAAAGAAAGAAAGAAAGAAAGAAAGAAAGAAGGAAAGAAAGAAAGAAAGAAAGAGAGAAAAGAAAGAAAGAAAGAAAGAAAAAGAAAACCTAGGAATGGGTTGGTCTTGGGCAAGACTAAATCCATAGGATCAAATGATGTATTTGGGGACTCCCCTGACACTCATCTCCGCTTCTCTGTGTTAACCTCATTTTCTCCTGCTGCACTGGTGTGGAGGCAGGCAAGTTTGTGAAATGCTATCCTGTAGCATTTAAAAGGGCCACCAGATGTTTTACATTAAATTACCCTGAACTGGTGGTGGTTAACTCATGAGGATTCTTAAATTAGAGAAGGAGATAAATTTATCACAACAAATGTCACAAAACAGCATTTCAGTACGCATTTATGGAGCACCTAATGTCTTCAGCAAGTGTGTCATTATGTATGTAGAGCATCATCAGTTTTGGTCTTCTTTCTCATACAATATTTCCACTCCTCAATTCTGTCTGCTTCATGTTAATCCTTATGTTTTAAAAGAAAGTCAAAATCCAGGAGATTTTGGTAGCATACTGTGAGGAGGGTACCATACTGTGAGGAGGAGGCAGCATATGGACCAATAAGATACCAGAATTAAACAAGGAAAATATTTGGTTTCAAAGTTGGAATTTTCCTGTCTTTATTCATAAACATATGCCTAACCAAATATCCTGCCTTCTCTGACTGTGGGACAGGCAAGCAGGCATGAAGAGGCTAAGGTACTTGTGCACATATGCTTGGAAATGGATTTCTCACTTCAAATGAGGATCCAAGGAACTTAATGTATTATTGGGATTCTTTAAGATATCCATAATTCAATGTCTTTGAAACCCATTAGGTAATATTTTCACACTAGGTTCTTTCTTTGGTGACGTCATTGCTTTATAGCTTTATTTATATCAGATTATGGAGTTTTTTGATTCAGCTACTGCTTTCTGGTACATGAATGCCTGAACTTTTGAGAACAAATAGTTTGTTTCTTAAAGATCTTGAATTAAAACTATCACATTAAGAAATATTGAGGCAGAATTAGAGTGTTTGAATTTCTGCAGTAAATTTCTCTAAGTAAGGCATGTTAATAAGTATTGCCACTTTAGTTTTAGACCGCTTTCAGATTGGAGAAAATGTAAGTTTTCAAATGTAGCCAAAATAGGAGATATAGCCTTATTCTACATGACATTTAATATACTTAACATGTGATGTTGACTGCTTTAGTTTTTAAGGATTATTTTTTCAGCAAATCAAATGTTTTTAGTATAAATATTATAAACTATGTTAACGTTTTTGTCCCAAATATGTTTTTTCCAATTTCTCATAGACCTTTTACATTTGTCCATCATCTTTTTGTTTATTCTCTTTTCTCATTCTCTCCATTCTGGTTTGTTTTTTTTTTTTTTCTTTTTGCCATTAAATATTGTTCCCCAGTGAATAGCAATGTTTTTCTATTGGGCTGTGATCCCAGAAACATATTGTGCATGAACTCAAGACCTATAAAAACATACTTGCTTCACAGTGTTTATAACAAAAATCTAGGAAAATCCTCTTTAAAAATATAGGTCTGGGGTGCCTGGGTGGCGCAGTCGGTTAAGCGTCCGACTTCAGCCAGGTCACGATCTCGCGGTCCATGAGTTCGAGCCCCGCGTCAGGCTCTGGGCTGATGGCTCGGAGCCTGGAGCCTGTTTCCGATTCTGTGTCTCCCTCTCTCTCTGCCCCTCCCCCGTTCATGCTCTGTCTCTCTCTGTCCCAAAAATAAATAAAAACGTTGAAAAAAAAATTAAAAAAAAAAAATATATAGGTCTAGTTATTTCAACTTTGAACCAAAATAATATAAAGTATAATGTATATATTGCTAAAGTAAGCTTTACATGTCACTGTATTTACTGAAAATACTTTAATGAGTTTATGTAATAAACTTTTTAAGTTTCTTCTTTTTCTGTTCTTAAAAAGTATGGAAATGGCAGTGTGAATTAATAGTATGAAACAATACATAGAATTAATTCAGCTTTTTTGTGCATTCAACAAAAATCTAAATCAGTGATATGTGTGTAGCATACAGTTTCAGTTATAAGTAGCTGTTGTATATAATTACAATATATATATAGTTATTTATAAGGCAGTTCTGAGGATTTTAAAATAAACATTCTTTTGTGCTTATACATTTTTATATGTATGTCATGATGGATAGATTAGGCATTTAATTTTTTTATCAGAATAAGTATGAGAATATTTTGATTTCCTTTAAACTTCTTTCCTTACTTGCACAATTTGGACATTTAAAAAAAAAATTTTTTTTTCAACGTTTATTTATTTTTGGGACAGAGAGAGACAGAGCATGAACGGGGGAGGGGCAGAGAGAGAGGGAGACACAGAATCGGAAACAGGCTCCAGGTTCTGAGCCATCAGCCCAGAGCCTGACGCAGGGCTCGAACTCACGGAGCGCGAGATCGTGACCTGGCTGAAGTCGGACGCTTAACCGACTGCGCCACCCAGGCGCCCCTGGACATTTTTAACAATACCAAAACCACTGATGTGGACTGCCAAACAAAAAGAAAAGAATGTTTCCTCTCTTAAGTGGAGACAAGATGGCCACAAATCAGAAAGATGGGGATGGGTAGAGGGAAAATGGAAATATGAGTTGGAATGTAGAAAGTTGTTGGAAGAAAGTACATCAGCGGTGCTTTGTGACAATTTAAAAAATTCTATGCATCATGGAAGAAATTACTTTCATTTTTATTCCTATTAGCATTACAGAGTCTATCTCCTTAAGGGACTAATAAACTGTGTAAATAGTAGAAATTCACAAAAGCAGCATAATTTCAAGACATTAATTAATTTTAAAAATGTATAAAATATCTTGTTAGTTTGGCATTTAATATAGATAATTTTTTTTAGCACTGCATTATATATTGTTTCTGTGTTATTTTTTTTTTAACTTTCAAACACCAGGTTTGACTTTTCACTCATAAATTTCTTTAGAAAAAAAGAAAAGTTTTTGGGGCACCTGACTGGCTTAGTCTGTTAAGTGTCTGACTTCAGCCCAGGTCATGATCTTGCAGTTCATGAGTTCAAGCCCTGCGTCTGGCTCTGCACTGACAGTGTGGAACCTGCTTCAGATTCTCTCTCTCTCTCTCTCTCTCTCTCTCTCTCTGCCCTTCCCCTTACCACCCCCAAAATAAACAAACATTTAAAAAAGAAAAAAAGTTTTTAAAATTCCCTATAGCACTGGTAGTTTGCTAAACCAAGAGTATGCCATCAGAAGTTTTGGCTGATTTGAACTGAATGCAGTACACCCTGTGAAAAGTGTGGCTGTGTACGAATTATGGGGAAAGTGAGAAGCTAAAAAAGATAGTTTTTAAAAGTGCTTTTTTTTTTCTTTAGGCCCTTAAAGCTCTAAATGTCCTGGTGTCACTTGAGAGGTAATAAAATAAAATTGGATACGATAAACTATAAATAGTAGGTTTTATGCCATCAGTGAAAACGGGTTTAGTGAGTACCAGTTAGGTATAATAAGTTGAGGTCCTGCGCTAGAGAAACTTATACTCTATCCCCAAAGTGGTCTGATAATAAGATCCCACTTATCAGAAATAAAATGTTTCCTTGAGAACTGCAGGCTTAAAATAAAAATGAGTTATCTTGATTTTATCTTGTTTAAATTCTTTGAATTTTACTAAAAATTTTAAAAACCTATGCTTTTCAGTGTAGAACATAAGCAAGGCTTAAGTTGTAGGTTCACTTCTGTGTAAGCCAGTTTGTTTTGTCCAATGCCTAGCTTACATCCTTGCCCTGTGACACACATACTATTGATCAAAAAAAAGGACTAATCATGTAATCACCCTAAATCTGTTACCAGTGCTGGAAAAGTGGATCAAAGTCCTTGATAGTTCACTAGATGTCGGGCAGCAATATATAAAAAGCAGTAGACGTTTTATAGATCTCAGTTCCTTCAAATAGCTCTCTGTATTGTTTATTTAACCCTGGTGTGATTTATTGGGGAAATAAACTAGAAAACTGAG